TGTGTACATATTCAAACATTTCGTTGTTTACTTCCATTTTTTTACAAATATAAGGTTATTTGCTTTCACCGCTTTCTGTTTTTGTTTGCACATGTAAATCAGCTGATCGTTTGACACTTTTCATGAACTTACAGGAAAAAAATCTCCGGACTAAATCCTGTAACTTCTGACTAGGAACAGTTGCTCAGTTACTCTCTCAAATGTGTTCCCACTTACAGGTTTTATGTCAATAGGAACGACTTCCTGTAAGTTCTGACTAAATCCTGTAAACCGGACTGCTATTGGAACCATGATTCAACAACTACAGGTTGTAGCAATCGTACAAAAACAACATTTACCGTTGGTATGAACTCCTTGTGTCATCACCATCTTTTTTATCTATTCATATTCGTGTGTATATGTATACCCTGCATACCAGGATTTCATAGAATTCTGAAAGGTTTCACAATTTTTTTAAGAATTTTCTTTAAGAAATCGTACAGAAATTTCTTTAATAGTTCTTGTCAATCGCCTCATATGTTTTTCTTTACAGATTTCTAAAAGAATCGTAACAAATTTCCGACACTCTTAAAGATTTCGGGAGCATTTGTTTGCAGGGTATATATATACGTATATGTGTATGTGTACGCGGATATGTAAATATAGCAAAACAGACGATAATTTGACACAAGCGTGCTCATAAGAAGAAGCATAGCTTTTATCGCTATCACCTGTAATTGATGCGCCTTGTATTGGAACTGACTATCAGTTTGCCGCATGGAGATTTTCGTTACTGAATTGACGGAAAACCATGTTCTAAGGAAGAAAATCTGGATTTGGACAATTCAACGCCCCTGCGCCAAGTCCTTACCTTGGGCCACTCGCTACGTTGTCTGGTGACTATCAACGTAGTTTAGAGACTTTAGCTCTGATACGTGAAGACATAAAACGCAATACACTTAACAAAGCTCAACGTCCCACCACTCCCATCTTTGCTGAGGCAATAAGACGCACTTTTCGTGCATTTCAGCTTCCCGATCATGTTCCAATGCTACATCTTAATGATGTTTTCAAAAGAGATCTCCCTATTTGGTCATCATCCCCCGGACTACCTTGGATGAATCATGGCTATAAGACCAAAGGTGACATCAAAAGAGATCCTGATGCGATTCAGAGGATAAGATGGTTTTGGCATAGAGTTAAGATGGGTGAAAAGATGTCATTCCCAGATAGTTGTGCTTATGTCAGAGCGCATATAGTAAAGCGAGGCGAAACAAAGGTTAGAGCAGTATGGGAATATCCAGCCACTGTCACCCTAGGGGAAGCAGTATTTGCACTCCCGCTTATTGATGCCTACAAAAGAGGCGGATATCCAATAGCCTATGGATATGAAACTGGAATGGCCGGCTGTAAAAAGATCTATCAAAATTTTAAAGGGAATTATTTCCTTGGCATCGATTTTAAAAGTTTTTATAAGACGCTTCCACCGTGGTTGATTGAAATTGCTTTTGACGTTTTATCATATAATATCGACTTTGTAAGGTACAAAGATTACGGTGTTGCAAGATGCAACGCTATGGTGGACATGTTTGAACAGCTGCGCGACTACTGCATACATACTACGATTAGGATGTGCAACGGCGAAAGATATATTAAGCATTCAGGTCTTGCTAGCGGTAGTTATTTTACCCAGTTGATTGGAAGTATCGCTAATTACTTGCTACTAACCTATGCCTGCATGATGAACGAAGTGGACGTACGTAGCATATTAGTATTTGGAGATGATTCGTTGCTTGGACTGGAGAAAGCATTGACTCCCGATGACATTGCAAACGTTCTTGAGGAATTAGGAATGATTGTAAATGTAAATAAATCCGGTTCGAGTCGATATATTAGCCGTTTATTCTTCCTTGGCTATCAGATCAATTATGGAGTAGCACATGTAATATAAAAAAAAGAAAAGGGGGGAAAAAGGAAAAGAGGGGGAAAAATAACAATAATAAAAAAAATAAAAAAAAAGAAAAAAATAATAGAAATTAAGTTGATTAATTTGAAATACCCTTGTTAAAGGAAAAAGAGAAAAAGGGAAGAAGGGGAAAAAAGAAGGAAAGAACAAAGATAAAAAAAATTTAGTGTTTTTTTTTTAATAAATAAATAAGGAAAGATAAAAAGGGGAAAAGAAATATAAATTGGCATGTAAATACATAAGCAAACAAAATAAAAAACTAGAATACTAATAAGTATAAAACTATAGCAATAACCAGCAAGTATACAAACTACATGTAATAAAAAAGAGAAAATCAGTATTAAGCTAAGTAAAGTGTAACAAAAAAAAAAAAAAAAAAAGGAGTTAAATTTGAGTTCATTTAAATGAAAAAAAAAANTTCATTTAAATGAAAAAAAAAACAAGTTATATAAATTGTATGTACGCAATCTAAACACAAAATTGGAATATTAATAAGTTAAAAAAATACATCCAAAATCAGCTATATAGACTTGGTGTCTCGAGCTGATTTTATTTTTTCCCTTTTTGGGGTTGCTGTTCTATTGTGACCAGCAAGTGAAAGAAGAAGAAGTTTGCCGCATGAATTGTTTTGTCCATCATTATAAACAAAACGAAATCGGAAATTTATTAAAGATACCAAAAATACTAAATCCAACAATAGCTCTGTTTGATGTTTGGCGTCAACANTTTGCCGCATGAATTGTTTTGTCCATCATTATAAACAAAACGAAATCGGAAATTTATTAAAGATTCCAAAAATACTAAATCCAACAATAGCTCTGTTTGATGTTTGGCGTCAACAATCTGTGTACAAAACGGCACAAGTCCATTGAATCTGTTGTCGCAGCTAACTAGAATGGAGTCGGTGTTGTTCGCTAACATCAAGAAGCTCTTTGCCAACGAGTTATATTCCTGTGTAATTCGAACTTCAAGCTTACTGAGTACTCTTTTGCAAAATGATCGTAATGTCGCCACTCCCGAAATGGAATATCAAGTGCTTCTCTTTAGCGCTAATGCGCACTACCATGAACGCAACTTCCGTGCGGCCAGCAAACAATATGAAGCTGCATTGCTAATGCGAAAAACAATGTTGCGCGTCAAGAACACACAGCTAGTTAGCATCGAGATAACATATGAGCAGTTCGCTGAACTAGAGACGCGCTATCGCCTCGCCAGGAGCTATCGTGAGTTAGATGAGGATCAGAAGGCAATCGTCATACTGCAAGCACTGCCGCTGAAATCGCGCACACCAAAAGTAAATATGTTATTGGCACATCTTTGGCAATATGGGCAAAATGTCGAGAATGCCGAAGCTATATCTGCTTATAAGGAAGTGCTAGGCGATTGCTCGATGGCTTTAGGGGCCATAGAAGCGCTATTGATGTTGGGTGTTGATGGCATTGAAGTGAATTCGTTGGTGGTTAATGGTAATGAAAACGTTTACAAATTTATTGTATTTGTCTAAATTCGCTTTATTTAACTTGTAGCAAGTGCTTTGCCAAAGCACATCGATTGGCTGAGCAGCTGGATAAAGGCACACGCTCAGTTGTACGGACGCGACCATTTGGAGGCATCAAAGACATTTCAAGCGATCAACGATAACACAAAGTTTCACCAAAACTATTATCTACTTGCATTGATAGGCAAAACCCTCTATTACTATGGGCGATACATTCAGGCGCAACAGTATCTGGAGACTGCCGTTATGGTTAACCCTCACAGCACGGAAGCCATCATGCCTCTAGCCGTGGTCTATGAATACAATCAAAAATTTTCTCAGTTGGATAAACTATCTACTCACATAAGCAACATAAAAGAACTTAATTCCGATCATTGGTTTGTTGTTGCTGAGAATTGCTATGCCGCAGGTCAAATTGAGAAGGCAATTTCATTTGCAAAGAAAGCAATAGAGTTAAATGAGCGCAACGTTGAGGCACAATTGCTACGAGGACGTATATGTCTACAGCTAAAACAGCGGCAAGAAGCGATTTCGTATTTTCGCGCTGCTCAATGTATAGCCGGTTATCGATTTGAAGTCTATAAGGGTCTCTATCATTGCTATGTAGGCATGAAGCGTCGAGACGAGGCACAGGCTATGTGTGCTTTAGCCGTACGTTATTTCCGCAATTCGCCTCGTAGTTATGTGGTATGAGCTAACTGAAGTAATTTACTTGCTACTAAATTTTATTCGGATATCTTCTTAATTTCAGATGTTTGCACGCGTGTTACTACACTCTAATAACCCGCTTGCCAAGAAAAGCGCTAAAAAATTCCTAGCTAAAGCGCTGGAAATCGATGAGCATTATTCGGTGGCTGTGGCGCTTATGGCAGACGTATGTCAGGCAAATGGGGAGACGCAAGAAGCTAGCGCTATGCTTAAAAAGCAAGTAATGACCTTTCCTAATCACTCATACTTCAGCATGTTGGGTGATTTGCGCCGTACCCTAAGAGATTTGGATGGCGCACTTGAATATTATACGATTGCTTTGAGGTATGATAACTGCAGAGACAAGTACGAGTGACTGGGTATTAAGTTAATTAAGTTGATTTTACATTTATATTTGAACAGCATTGAGCCTAACGACCGCCGCGCTTTGAAAGGTGTCAACGCATTGACTCGCGGTGGTGACAAACAGGATCAAGACACTTCGTTAATGCTGTCTCGCATGCGCGATGAAGAATGGCAAATTGATGATGAAGCAGAAGAATCGTCCTCGCATGACGATGATGATTCAGATACGTATTCCGATCCTTTCTGGCAAGATTTGGAATCTGAAGTGATCAATTAAAGTTTTAAGGAGCGAGGTTTGTAGTTACCTTTTTTTTTCATTATGCTAAAGTAGTTAGTAGTTATAAGCTCTGGGAGGCCTAAGGCGGAAAAACCCATTCGTATTAAATACCTTGGTAATTTAAACACAAAATCTTTAAAGATGTTCGTACATTTATTTGGGCAAAAAGTCGAAAACAAATAGCAGCACCTACATTAATCTATGATGCCTTCTCAGTCTCCATTTCCTCAGCGTTGGCTCCACTTGTGGTGCCTACAGCTGCTGCGCTACTTGTTTTAGCTTTGTCCTTCTTCTCTTTCGCGGCTTTGCGATAGGACTCTAAATCGGATGTCAACGGATCGACAAAGCTTTCAAATTCCAGTTGTTTTAATGCATCTAATATATTTGCCGCTGTAATGGTCTTATGATTCTGCTTACGGGCTAGCGTTGTCGATGTGGAAGTCAGAAAGATTACAAAGACTGACGCGGCACGGGCTATGGCCGCACGCGCTTCTTTGCTAACGTTCGCGCCTTCGGGTAGCGCGTCCTTGATCAGGCGTCCCACAACAGCGTTGGGTAAATTTAAATCCTCAATACGCTCGACCATTTTGTTGTGTTTGTAAAATTAATTTTTCTAAATAGCACCGTAGCAGAAATTTTCACCACGCTTTTACGCATATAATAGAGCGGTAAACAAAAATTAAATAAATGACGTGCTGCTTCTTATTACAAAAGAGTTCACAGTTAACTATTTCGCGAAAAGAAAATAGTCGATAAATGCTTTTTATTTGAGATTCGCAATGAAACACTTTCGATAGATCGAAGCTCTTTCGAAGTGCTCGATAAACTTATGAACGAGTTGTGAGTAGAAAAATTATGTTTACATATAGGTAAATACATATATTCTCAATCAGAGCTCGTTTGTTAATCACCCCGTTTACACAATCAAATCTCGGAATATTAGCTCTCAAATTGGTTGTGCTTGTTTTGCTCAGAACTTTTAACTTAAAATTTTGTTATAAATACCTTTCCAAACCTTTATCCCTCGTTTATTTTCACATTTGACATTACTCTTCTTCGAAAAATAATAATCGATAAAACCATGTTTGCCTCCGAAAATTTATCGGGTTAATCTTAGACTATCTTATAATTACAGATTAACGAGGAAGGAATATTTTATGGCTAATCTGTTTTTATTGTCTATTTGATTGACCACGTATGTGGCTGCCAACTAGAAGCTGCTTGCTGAGCGTTGTGTTATGCTCCTTAACGGGGTGCATATGGGCGGCAGGTGATGTTGCCGCTACATCAAAAGTTATCCTGTCTCTCCTGAGTGCGGTGTTTTGGCAAGTCTACAGCTTTCTCCACTGCGTCCTACCAGTCCCCGGCGACCACACAGACGGGTGGTACGAGTTCCGCCGATTTACTGCCAAAATTAGGTATTTGTTGTGATTCTTACTGTCATTGTGCATATAATTTGTTGAAGCATTTTTTTGTGCTCCTGCTACCCCTTGCATGAATTCGCCTTTAACCCATTTAAAAAAAAAAAACGCTCTCTGGCACCTAACCCCTTCAAATGAGATGGTACAGCGAGGTAACATTCCCAAGACTGCCGGTCTGCGCACCGGTATGACTTGGGGTTTTCCCCGATCAACAGCTGTTGTTTCGGGGACCCATCCCCGTTTAGATCGGCGAATTTCTTCAATCATTTTTCGTCTATGCAGCAATGCCTTGCTGACATAGGTGCGCTACTCGGAGGTGAAAGCCGTATGGTAATAGGTGACTTTAACGCTTACCACGATCTTTGGCACTCAAGCCTGCCAAATGATCTTAGGGGAAACTTATTGGCTGAGCAGATAGACGATTCGACAATAGCTCGCCCGATATAACATGGTAAAGCGCTGGTCTGATAAACAGCATAACGAGGCGACCTATGCTAACGTTAGCATCGGATCATCTGCCCGTAATTATCTCGATTGCTAAACCTGCTGACTTTGCCTCCGCGGAACACTGAACCTACGTCAACTTTAGCAAAGTTTATTGGAACGGCTTTGCGAAAGTTACTGAAAGCACCTTATCTGCCCTCCCCACACCAACTGACGTTCACGTAGATGAGCGTAAGTTCCGCCGGGTTGTCACTGATGCTGCAGCCCGCTCCATTCCAGCTGGATGTATTTCGGACCCCTGTCAGAATTTTTCTGCCGAAGCGGCTGTCTTGGCTGATGAGCGAGACAACCTTTGTCCGGCCAAACCCGGAAATCCCCGCATTAGGGATCTCAACGCGGATATTCGGCAACTTGTGAACGTGCTTTAGCGAAAGAAGTGGAAAGATCGTCTGAAGACTTGTAACTCCACCTCTGGTGTGAGCAAGCTTGACGACAGAGTCGAAATTTCTTTCGGCGACCACGCTTCGTCGAACCCGGAGCGATGAGCGAGCTATTTTAGCCGACAGTTCACGCTGCATCCCTCGGTGGACAAAGCCAAACGTCGAGCGAGCCATAGCAACCAGTGGAGCATCAGTATGGATTCCGTAAAGTACACAGCACAATAACAGCACTTACAGCTAAACCAAAACTGCTCTTGTGAGAGAAAATTCTAGTGGCGTTGAAAAGAGGCGTTTGACATCGTCAGCCTCTCCACGCTGTTAGAAGACGTCGAGACTTCCACTCTTCCACAGGAACTCAAACGATGTTATCTGTTATCCCGCCTATTTCGGTTTATCCCTCAATCATTGTCGTCAAGCTCAACAAACGGTATGCCCAAGAAACGGGCAGTTACAACAGAGACGGACCAAAGGGAGAGGGGTGTTAGTTGATTGGGATTGAGCTGGCATGTAAAGAGGTGGTTGGTGTCGTGCGGGGAGTCTCTACATGCCGGACACTCATTGGGGATATTGGAGTCGAGTCTGGACAGGTAGCTGGTTCTACGTACCGGAATGACTCGGGTTTTAACGACCAAGGACTGTTGGTTCAGCGTTAGATCGGCGAACCCCATCTCTATTATCTCGAATATCCCCTTTCACCACCTGAACGAAAGAGGTCAGACTGCAGCTAGGCATTTACGTCGATGGCGAACCAATCCAGACGGTGAACAACCCTAAAATGCACGGAGATAATTTGGTCTATTTCTCTGCGCACACAACCGCAATTGTCAATAAAGTACAGAGCCGCAAAAAAAAAAATGTTGCTGGCAACGTACAACGCAATTGGCCGGTCCGTTCTAAAGTACGCAGCGGAGGCTAGCAGGACGCAGTGAATGAAGCAACNTGTTGCTGGCAACGTACAAGGCAATTGGCCGGTCCGTTCTAAAGTACGCAGCGGAGGCTAGCAGGACGCAGTGAATGAAGCAACAGACTTGCCAAAACACGGTAGTCCATCTACATGCTCCCCGTCAAGAAGCACTGCACAATGCTGGGTAAGCAATGCCTAGTAGGATACCACGGACGGGGGCACCTGAGCAGACACTTGCTTGCTGCCGCGCCTAAGTACGATAGAAGGCATTTATACGAAGTCCAGAGGTTATTTTATGAACGGCATTCACAGGGCGGCAGTTGGTGTAAGTCGAGACCGACTACCTGTGAATGCCGTTTATGCACTGACGGGTCCAGTGTATGGAGCTTCTTACAGAACAATGATTGACAACTTTTTGCGGCCAACGGCAGAGCAGCATCCTAATTTGTGGTTCCAATAAAATGGAGCGACTGCGCACACTGCCAGGCAAACTATGGACCTGCCGCGTGCAATTGGTGGGTCTTATTTGGCCCACCCTGTACATGTATGTATATCCTGTGTTTTTGTCCATCTGAAAGAATTTTAAAAATTCTATAAAAATTTATTATGTTTGAAATGCAACCGTGGACACCAGCCGGCCGGAAAAAAAAATCACCTTTTGTTACTTTCCGTCTATGTATACTATTTTATTGAGATAAAAATGTAGTCAATGAATAATTTCCTGTTTTAGTACCCGCACTACAGCAAATTGTATTTACAAATTAAAATTATTATTTCATATGTGGCAAATGTCATTTCGCAAATGATCAGAAATCTACAAAATTTTACAACTCGAATGCGCAGAGAATTCTCTCAGCTCCACTTCCGCCGTCAGTTGCTGCGTCTCTATCATTTTCGCAATCAATATTCCATAATACTACGCCTAATGCTCAAGTTTTGCATTAGCCAATTGCATTCGTTTTGTGCCAATAAGTACACCGCTTTAACCTAACTCTACTTTAGGGAAGCCTTTACATGTTTCAACTAGCTTAACAATTCGTTTAATATAACTATAATGTTGTTAATAAATTAAGCCTGGGGATTTTCCGCGTTGTTGTTGCTTGTCGGCGGCTCTGTAACCGCGGTAGTGGCGGCTTCATCTATTGCCTCCGCCGACGCAGCTGCCGACGCATTCTCGGCCAGTGACGGCACTGTACGCGTATGCACTGCAGTGGCATCAACGACAATCGTGGGTATTTCAGCGCTTTTAATCGCGTTCGGATTGGGTATATCAGCAGCAGGGTTGGTTTGTACAGGTGCTTCCACTTTTTCAGCGGCAAGCGCAGGCTGCTCGACCGATTGCGCGGCAACAGCCGGCGTCGCTGCAGCAGCAGCATCGGTTTTTTCGGCTGGCTTACTGGATTCCTGTGCGCTATCGAGCCGGATAACTTCGCTGTTTGGCTCCACCACTTCAGTCACTGTTTGTTGCTGTGCTGCTGCGGCTGTTACTGCAGGCACTTTCTCTGAAGGCGCAGGAGAAGATGCCTTTGAGGGCACTGGCGAGGCAGCCTTCGATTGTGCTGGCGTTGCTGTCTTGGAGGGTGTTGGTGAAGCTGACGGCGTGGAGCTGCGCGACGACAACTTCTGCTTGTGTGCGTTCTTGTCTAACAGCACCGATGTCGCTTGTGGTGCTGGGCTGCCACCGCGCTTAATATCCTCAATCTTCGCTTGCAATTCCTGACGTATTTCAGCGATCGGCTTGAGCAGGAAAACCGGGACGTCATCGTCGCGACGTTGAAAGAGCATCTCGCCTTCAAAATCTACTAGTTTATGCTTGCGCGCACGCAATAAAATGCCAACCACCTTGTCGGAGATGTAGTTGTAAATCTGTGAGAAGGGAAAGTGAATAAGTAAAATAGCGACAGAGAAAGTTTACGCTGCTGTATATGTACTCACATTGAAGAGCTCGCCGAAGGGTATGACACGCATTGTCGGCTCATCCTTGACATTGTAACCCTCTGAGTCAATGATTTGACATAGTTCCAGCATTTCGCGAAGCACATGCATATTAGCCTTCTGACCGCGCATCTCTGTCAAGCTGCCCGCCAAGGGTCTGTTAGGNCGTTGTTAGCATCTTACCAGTTGCTAGTTGTCAGTTATGCCATTGACAGTTGCGTTGTAAAAATAAATCAAAATTCGTTTGTAAGTTCAGGGCTGTTCGTTTTGTTATTTATGATTTTGCACATGCAACTAAAAATGCATCAATGCATACATACATAAATATGTACATATATACATACATATATACCATGGCAAGATATTTGCCAATTATATTTATATTCACTTGCAGGTGCATATAAATACGTACATATAGACGTACATATAGATATGTAGACACCTATGTATGTATGTACATACGTACGCTGTTGCCTGCTGCCATTTTGAGTAATAACAAAACACAAACAAACAACGATTAAAAACACTTGTGGGCGAGTGGTAACCACTGCAACGATTTTTTGATTAATTGGCAGAAGCGAATGTATTTATTTTTGTATGTATTTATGGATGTAGTTATGTATATACACAGGCTTGTGACACAATACTGAGTGAGGTAGACGCTTTTTAATTAAGATCACGCATACGCCCTGTGATATGAATTGCTGCTGCACATAAATATGTACCTTTACAAGGAGAAGGGGTTTACAAGAAAATTGTGAATGGGCTTTCAACGAGTGAGTTTTTCAGCGAATATGTGAATGAAGGATGGGAAAATTGCTGAAGTAGGAAAGAGTTTTTAACTACAAACATATAGCGGATGGGGTTTTAGCGAGTTTATGCAAATGGCGGATTGGGTGCAAACGGCGTTTGAAATAAAGTAATGAGGTTATGATACATAAAATAAATTAAATATGATACATATTAAAATAAAATAGAATAACAAAATAAATAAAATGAAAACACAAAAGTAAAATAAAACAAATCAAAACGAAATTAACTAAATTAAACAAAATAAAATAGAGTAAAAGTAAATGAAGTCGAATAAAATAAATTTAAAAGAAATAAAATTAACAGAGCTGTAGTTCAATTAAATGGAATAGAATGAAATGGAAAGTAATGAAATGAAGTGAATTGAAACTGAATGAAATGAAGGGAAGTGAAATGAAATGAAACAAAATTGATAGAAATAAAAAGAAGTCAAGGAAGAAAAGGAAATGAACTAAATGTAAAAGATAAAATAAAATAGGGTACAATAAAATAAAAAATAAACTAAGAAAAAAATAAATAAAAATGAAAAAATAGTATGATAAAACAATAAAATAAAATATCATAAAATAAAAGTAAANCAAACATATAGCGGATGGGTTTTAGCGAGTTTATGCAAATGGCGGATTGGGTGCAAACGGCGTTTGAAATAAAGTAATGAGGTTATGATACATAAAATAAAATAAATATGATACATATTAAAATAAAATAGAATAACAAAATAAATAAAATGAAAACAAAAAAGTAAAATAAAACAAATCAAAACGAAATTAACTAAATTAAACAAAATAAAATAGAGTAAAAGTAAATGAAGTCGAATAAAATAAATTTAAAAGAAATAAAATTAACAGAGCTGTAGTTCAATTAAATGGAATAGAATGAAATGGAAAGTAATGAAATGAAGTGAATTGAAACTGAATGAAATGAAGGGAAGTGAAATGAAATGAAACAAAATTGATAGAAATAAAAAGAAGTCAAGGAAGAAAAGGAAATGAACTAAATGTAAAAGATAAAATAAAATAGGGTACAATAAAATAAAAAATAAACTAAGAAAAAAATAAATAAAAATGAAAAAATAGTATGATAAAACAATAAAATAAAATATCATAAAATAAAAGTAAAATGAAATAAGTAGTTAATTTATCGTTTCATATTGTGTAAAATTTCGAGATACATATTTTTTTTTTTGTAGTTTCCGATTAAGAAGACAACACGAGAGACAAATTGCTAGCTTAGAGTGAAAAGTTGCTAAGTCCATTTTTAGAAATTTTACATGATAGGAATCATAGCAATTTTCTTTATTAAAAGACTTCATTTTATATTGGCCTTATCGGGTTTTCGGTGTCTCTTTTGGACTTCGCAGATTTGCCTTTTCTAGAAAATAAACGAGAAAAAAAGTACCTTAATCTTTTTTAAAACGATGCATTTTTAATTTCACTTGCTTCCTATATCAAAATATGACTTAGCAAATTGTCCCTCTAAGAACAAAAAACAACAAATTGCAGTTCTCTGCACCAATAGAACACTGCGTTGCCTGTTAGATCCACATAATTTTTAATTAATATTAATATTTTGGTTGCTAAGGGCTGCAAACATGTGCACATACTGATATACATGCATATACATATATACATACATATACATATGTACATTTGCATACCTTAAAATTTTAACAATTAGTTTTAGTTAGACGAATAAAATCAAAACTACATAAATTAGGTGTTTTTACCAAGCACGTGGATCGCTTGACTGTAAAGTACTTTTTTGATGTGAATTCATACAATTATATTTATTTTATTTGGTACACTAACTAAAATACTTTTAAGCGCACATTTGCCAACACATAAATTACACTTCCTGCAACGTGTGTCAGCCTTCAGCGCCGAGATGCGAAAGAAAAAAAAAGAGCGTAGTTGCAGGCACTTGGCCGGCCGCTAAAGTTGACCGCACACGGACCTGCGGCGCTTGTATAAATCGGCGAAATGTGCATTCATTCCTTTGTGCTTATGCATGTGCATCCATACATACATATGTATGCATTAATTTATTCACGTGTGCCCGCAAGTATTTAAACTATTTGCAAATTGAAATATTAAACAAATGTAAAACTAATTTTTATAGACATGTCATTTTGTTATAATCACACTCTGCGCAAATTTATTTTTATTTGCATTTGCATTTGCTGTTGGACAGCTGCAACTACAAAGAGAAAATTTACAAATATGTGTTTATATGCATGACTAATTTAAAAAAAAAAAAAAAAAAAAAATATTGCCCTTACATCTTTTGTGAAAATAGCAAATACTTGACGAATTTTAAAATTACAAATGCAGACATTAATTTTTACAAGCCGGAAGACACATCAATCAAGGTTCATTTTTTTTTTGCTAGTTTGAAGAGCTAAATGAAAAGGCCGCAATTTGTTTGCTAAATTGTGTTTTTGATTGATTTTAAGTATTTGTGGGATTTGATGTGTATACATATATAAGTATATAAGTTTGTAGCTGTGTGCAAAAGAAACTTTTATATCACATTCATGAGAATTATAGAGGTTGGCAATTGTTTTTGTACGATCAATCAAAAGCTCGCAATGTAGTCAAGCCACCTTCTTCTTCTAAAATCTCACAATAAGCCCTAGTTTCCACTGGGAGTTGACTTTTTAAAACAGCTCCTAAAAATGTGTGTATCCTAACAAAACCTGCAATTAAGCGTTTACATTTCATATGAGCGTACTTTTCAAATTTGTATCGATTTTGTTTTTATTCACAATACACAAAAATGTTGTTTATTTTTTAATACATGTTTTTTTAGTTTTCGCCAAAAACTGACGCATTAACTTTTACGTTAAGCTACTTAAGCTTTAAAATTTTATTTTTTGTGTCTTAACATACTTATACATACATATGTACAGTAGGGCGGGTCAATTTTTTTTTTCGACATCGTTCCTAGCAGATTCGGATTCTACATAAAATTCTAAGAAAAAAAGCCCTTTAGACCATAGCTCTAGAATCAATTTCGAGCCTGCGCAATTTTAAAAGAAATTATTTTTAATTAATACTAAGTCCATAATCAGATTAATATTTACTAAAGTGTTAGGAATGTTTTTTTTTGTAATAAAGAGTTGTGCTCGGGAGTTTTGTGATACGAAAAATTAATTTCTGATATCTATTTTTTATTTAAAGAACCACAAGATGGCGCTTCAAAGCAAATCTACTATATATTTGTGGAAGTATGTATGTATGTATGTACCAGGTTGCAGCCTGAACGGATGTACAGAATCGAATAAAATTTTGCCAAAGTATTGCCATGACTCCTGGACCTATAATAGGGTAAAAAAAATTGAAACTCGCCAAGGGGGGGAGGGGGATGAGGGGTACCTCCCATAGTGAAAATTTTTAATCAGCTCTAACGTCGGAATTATAGTCACATGAACTCGAAATTTGAAATGCACAGATACCTATGGTAGGTGCTTATTGAAAGATATATGTATATAAATGAGTTTGTAAAAAGGGGCGTGGCACATCTCATAGGTGTGGAATCTTTTATCAGCTATAACAGCAGGCAGTATTAGTGATCTCATTATATTGCATTTTGAAGATTTGTTATAATTGATCAAAGTGAAATTCAAATAAATTATAGATGATATGAAGTTCACCGGGTCATCTTCTAGTCTTTAATATATACTCAGGTAATATACGGATAAATATTTACTAAAGTGTTACGAACGATATTTTTTTAATACCATAAGAAAAAAATAACTATGATTTAAAGGAGTGACACACAATGGCTAGAGTCGTCGCATGTGTGTATTCTTTCATATACATATACATATATGGGCCATTCTTACGGTTTAGTATATATTTTTCATCCACTCGCTTATTCCTTACCGAAAATTTTAAATAAAAATTTAACAAGTTTTAACCGCTGATACAGTACAGGTAGCAGTTTAAAATGGGGAACTGGGTAAACTTAATAAAGAAAACATATTCTCTGGTTAAATTAATAAGCCTGCCCGGATAACACAAAATCCTAAGCTTGATAAACATTTGGTGTTATACAAGTTTTATAAAGCACTACTTGTATTTAGGAAAAAAGCCAAAAAAAAATTATAAAATTTATTGATTGATTGATAGAAATAGAGAGGGAGTTATGGCTATAACAATAGAAACTAGAAAAAAGATATCTCGTGTTGAAAGCAAAAAGGATCTAAAACCAAACAAAAAAATATAAATACATTGTTAATCAATATTAGGCTTCCACGACAGCCGTCGTTGATCGCCCACCTAGTTACCTGGTTCAGGTACCCTGAGCCAGAACAAAAATGGTGTCTAGAAATCGTCCCTTAACCAAAATTTCCACATCATCTACATAGGCGATCACCCGACAGCCCACTTTATCCAGTTTCTCTAGAAGGTCTTTTACAACCGCAATCCAGAGCAGGGGAGAGAGAACACCACCTTGTGGAGTGCTCCAAATGACTCTGCATTGAGTGCAGGCGCGTCCCGACTCCGCCGCGACAGTTCTATTCGCGGTAGTGAGCTGTAGATAAGCCTTATTAGGTTGGTTTCGACCCCCTGATTATGAATATTTATATCGACTGTTGCCTCTGGTGTGACATTGTTGAAGGCCCCCTCGATATCGAGAAGGCCCCTACTGCATAATCTTTATGCGTGAAAAGTTCCTATGACCACTTTACCAATGTATGCAGGGCGATATTCACCAACCTCTTCTTGCAATAAGCATACTGAGCTCTTGAAAGACAGTCACAAGCAATCGCGTTTCTTATGCAGAGGTCTATTAGTCTCTCTATAGTTTTTAGCAAAAACAAAGAGGGACTGATTGACCTAAAATACTTAGGGGAAACATGTGCGCCTTTTCCGCCCTTCGGGCTGAACTGCAAGCCTTCGAGATGTACCCGGTCCTCACGCAGTTCGCATAAATGGGATCCAACCAATCGCACGACACCTTCAGAGTCCTTCGCTGCTGTGCAGGTATGATGCCATCGGTCCGCGGCGACTTTAATGGTTTCAACGACCAGACCATGTGACGATCGTCCAGAAGATCGGAGAATTACAGGACCTGGGGGAAGATTCTGAAACCAGTTAGCGACAATTTTCGAATCACTATCGCACTTTTAGACGCAAAAACATTTATATCATGCCTCAAAAGGTGCGATAGCGATCCGAAAATTGTCGCTAACTGGTTACAAAACCTTCCTCCTGAAGTACAAAATATCGCAAATAAGTACATTTGACTGTACTTCGAAGTACAAAGTACAAGAGCGAAAAAAGAAGTACTGTACTTCCGAAAGAAGTACGGTTGGCCACATTAAGTATGAACTATGTTTTTATAAAAAATTATCGGAAATAAAGTAAAAATTTTGCATATATGTAATGCGAAAATTTACTGCGCCAAAACTTTTGTTCGACACTGTACATATAAAAAAATACATACAGCAACTTCTCCCGTTACAATAGTAAAAAATATGTAATTTGCTTTGTAGTGCAATCTTGCGGTTCTTTCAATAAAAAATAGATATCAGAAATTAATTTTTCATATCAATAAACTCCCAAGCACAGGTTTGTATTAAAAAAAATATATCCGTAACACTTTATTAAATATTAATCTGCATATTTTATCAATTCGTCGGAATATGTTTTTATGTATGTTACCGCGTAACTTTGGACTACGTTATCCGTTTTCTATAATTCTTTTTGAAAGGAAAGGTGGTTCCTCAGAGGTAGTCTCCTACTAATTGAGTGTAGATCCGAAGAAAATAATGGTACAATTAAATTTGTATATAAGAATTGAAGTCGGTTTTGTTTTTTTGTTTAAATTTTACTTCAGTGTTCACAGCTTCTATAAAAGATTCATAGGCCATATTTTTTTGTTAGTTCAATTGTGGAACATTTGTGTGAACTGCTTCGGCTAATACTTCGGCTTTTGTTCTCTTTTTATATCGAGGCTAAGTGCATTGTTCGATGGGGTGATATCATTGCCAACCATGATAGTACTTTGTTTGCCATCAATAAACACTAACTTGACGGAGTTACAGTATTCCACATTGATGCGAGCCTCAAAAGCTTTGAATAATATTTGCGAGTATGGCTTTTAGTTTTTACCGCTCAGGTAGGTGGCAGGCCTATAGAAAATATTTCTTAATCAATAATTTTTCAAATACTTTTCGTTCGACACCTATATTATAATACATACATACTTTATCTTATTAACTTAATTGAATTAAATTTTCGAAATTGGTGGCAACTCGACTCAAAAATATTTTCAGTAGTAAGCCTTCTTAAACCTATTTAATTTGATACCCATATTGCAATATTTAATTTATCTTATCAATTTCATTTAATTCAATTTTGAAACAGGTGGCAACCCCCCTCAAAAATATTTTCGCCTGTAAGCCTTCATAACCTCTTTCTTTTGACACCCATATTGCAATATCTAATTTATGTAATTAATTTACTTATATTGAAACTTTTAAACAGGCGGCAACTCTCTATTTTTTCTGGTTTTAACCATCCGGATATTATAAAAAACAAACCGAAAAAATAAAAATATTAAAATCGGTCAAGCTGTTTTCGAGTCTTAGCGAGGCTAACGGACAGCAATTCATATTTATATATAAGTTATCTTCTTTTAAAAATGCGCAGGCTCGAAATTAACTTTAGAGCTATGGTC